ATATATAAATATATATATATATATAGTAAGATTTTTTTAAAGCATCATGGTGCAAAATGATTTTCTATGTATTTTCACTTAGAAATTTTATAATTATGACTGAGAATGTTGTTATAATTTCTAAAAGAATATGCTTATCAATTTGTAAAGTTGAGAAGATGACATTTTTCAGGTTCAGTTAGTTGTAGAGCTGTCATTTCTAACTCGGGCCCGAAGCCCGGCCCGACCCAAATTAGGGCCGGGACAGAATAATGTGCTCAATGGGCCGGGGCTGGGTAGGTGTCGGACTTTCGATTGCGTTAGCGAATGCGTTCGACTGACGATCCAATTATATGGCAACATGGCTTGCCACACATTCACCAGTCGCACGCGGCCGTTTGGCCGTGTGCTGACCGGCCTTGAAAGAGGTAAAAAAAAAGTTCAGTTAAGCTTCAGGTGGGACTACTGCCAGGCATTGATCAAAGCCCAAATGGATTTTCAGCCGCTGCACTCAGCGTGCGCGTGCGGCCGACGACCCAAACAAGGGAGATCCCAAAATATCTAACATGTCGGAGCAGGGTCCATGTCTGAATAATGCAGAATGCATGCAGAAGTAGGGATTTAATGCACTTTGACGGCCATGAAAAGATAAACACCCGCTCAGCTCCGATCTTTTGCCCCCTTTTACTCAGCCACGTGCATCCGCCGACCGTTAAGCAGTCAATTAATTAATGAAAAATATTGTGTTTTTCAGGTTCGGACCTGTAATTACTGTTAATTTGTCGGGTCAGGTGGGGTTCGGAAATTATGGCTATGGGCTGGGGCTGGGGCTGGGGCTGGGGCTGGGGCCGGGTCGAGTTTTTTGTGCCTGAATGCAACTCTAATATGTTGTAGGGAACAAATAATTTGATTTAGCACAAAAAAAGTCATGTTTTGTCACTCACATCCATACAAACTCAAAAACAAAACCCAAACAAAGACATTTGCCACACATATGAAGATTTGTGCAACAAACTAAACACATTTTCTCATTTTCTACTGACTGAAAATTTCATTGCTGATTTGAATAATAAACTAATTTTCCTTATTGCAGCCCATATGTCTGCACACATTTTCCTCACATTTCTGTGATCTCAACTGTTTAACCAGTTAAAACTGTCAGCTGCTCTAAAACATAATTGCTAACATTAAAAGTTTAGATGATAAATGCAGCAATTAAGATAAGAGAGGAATTAGCAGAAACACAGAAGATGCTTCTTACCAGGAGAAGCTCGATGGCTCCTAAAATGTACATGGCTCCAGCGTAGGTGGTTCCCAGGTAGAAACAAATTCCCACAGCTCCCCCAAACTCAGGGCCCAGAGAACGGGATATCATGTAGTAGGAGCCGCCGGCTACACACAAACACAGGAACAGACGTATAATACTTAATATATGTATATATATAATTTTTTCATCTGCTCCCTTCTTCAGGGGTCGCAGTGAACTAACTTGCACAAAGACTTAGTAGTTGTTTTACGCCGAAAGCCATTCCTGACGCAACCACAGACCACCGAGCTACCACAGCCCTCTGTGTGGAACAGAGAGCTGCTATCTAGGGCACCCAGGGGAGCAGATGGTGGGGGTTAAGTGCCTTGCTCAAGGGCTCAGAGAGGGGCAGATGAGGGAGGAGGCAGGTGTGGGTGTTTCACCGTTCCCACACATATTTTCATGTTGTTGGTTCGAGGAGTTGAACCGGTGACCTTCCGATCACAGGTCCTCTCTAGCCTCTGTGCCACCACTCCCCATCACATGCAATACTCAATATAGAGATACATAAAAACTCAAAATATGTAATTATCATTATTACTGTTTCGCTTGTGGAAGTGTATCTTACTTCTTCGGGTTTGAGTTGGACGCAAATGATAAAACTTTATTTAGTTTGAGTTAATTTCAGTCAGTAAGGCAGAACTTTTTGTGCCGCCTGCCGCAATCTGCAGAAACAGATCAACGACTACTGTTTTACAAATCTCAAATGAAAATTTCCTTGAGAATGGAAATACTGAACCAGACAAAGAATTTAAAGTGTGTAACATTATAATTGCCACAGTGGTTAATTTAACTTGACATTTTATAGAAAGTTGACATTTTTATGACATTAAAACATATACAAACGAAAACATTACTACACTTACACAACCGTTTTCATTGCTTTCCAGTAGTACTAATTATTACTCTGCTATTCTGTTACAAGCTTTGTTTTAGCTCAACTCAGTACTTTTTGTATTTGTGTGGCACCATGTGTAAATTAATTAATTGAGCATAAATAATTAGGCCTTAATCAGCCCTTTGTGGCAGCATAAAGGCTGCTACCAGCTATAATGTAGACAGTTATAATTGCAGATGTGTGCTCCTCTACAAGCCTGTAATTTTCTCTGACCCCTGAAGTAAGCACAACTGCTAAGACCATCATTACTATATAACCCACATTACAAAACGTAGCCACACTGAATGTTTACGTCACATAGAAATGCAGGCGTGCAAATTCTGATTTTAATGACAGACATTTGGCTGATGATTTATTTTGTGTAAATAATGCGTGACGACAGAGTTAGAGTGCACAGCTTCCCCCCTAGACTGAAGCTCCTAATGTTTCTGGTTATATCAAGCTGCGTTGAAAGGGATGTGCCAAAAGCAATCAGCGAAAAGAAAATTTTAGAAGCGGACAGCATCAAACAGTGATGACTGTGCGGCACCGGCGTCTGCTCACCCACCTGGCACGACTCCATTGGTAGCGATGGCGCTCATCGAGATGGCAGTCAGCATGGTCTAAACGAAGAGGGAGTGAAAACAAATCAGATATTTATCCACTCTGCAGGTTGAAACATGTTGATGGCTGACTTTTTCATCTTTTCAGCAGAGCACATTTGTTTATTTATTTTTGTTTTAATACAAATTATTACGTAAAGCTTGATGTACAGTATGGCAAAGCATTGCATAATTTTTTTTTACAAGTCCATGTAATAAAGTTAATAAATTAATCCCAGAGTAACACACAAGGTTTTACACTCTACACACAACTCTAACTCAGTGTGTTGACACAATAGTGATTGTTGGCAAAGTCATAATAATAAATGAAAACATACAAGCAGGTACAGGTTTCTTTTATATTTTGTCCAAAACCGGACCTGGTGAGCATTAAGGTACTCAACTCTGTCTGTTAGCAAAATATCTCTTGAACTACTGGACAGATATTAATGAATTCAGAAAGTAATTATTGTTGGCTATGCATTTACAAATTACCTTTTTGGAGTCCAGATGGCCACCCTATCTAATCAATGTTAATCAACACAATGACGGTTATAACTCAGTCATTTTTTTTTCATACATTGAGACACAATTTAGATTGGTAGTAGTTGAGAGTCATCCACAATACATTCTACAAGTACTAACAGATTCAGAAGCATCTTTGCCTAAAGTTTTGACATGCAAGGATATGCATCCTTTCAAGAACACCATGTTATTTTTTATTGTTTAATGTAATTGTCATGAATTGTAATCAAATTTAAAAAAATACTTTTTTTTTTTTTTACTATGCTGAAAGGTTCATCAGAGCTACCAAAACAATTTTAACGATTTAGACAAAACTTGTGCATTAAATGGGTGTAATATAGATTGTTCAGAAAATGTAAACAAAACACAGTTTTTTCACTGGAAGTTTTAGTATTGACAGACTTATAAAAATCACACATTGATATCTGTGTGGTTTATGTATACAACAGGAGAAATATGCCGACCCCAGTTTATTTAACATTAGAATTCAATGTTTCCCAAAAAAGGCTAAATGTTAAATGTGCAGATGACAGTGATTCATGAAGGAAAGCAATAAGATTTCATTAAGCGTTCACAAATATTATTATGAAAGCACCGGAATTCAGATAACACCGGATAAAATAATAGGGATGCACGATATTATCGACACGGTATCGGTATCGGCTGATATTAGCGTTAAAGTTAAATATCGAACATCGGCCACTTAATCAAAATAACTCGCCGATATAAAAGGTGCTGTTTTTGTATGACAACCCAGTGACAAGGATGCCTGCAGCGGCAGCACAACGTGATGACGTCACGCGCACCTATTGTACCTGATCAGTTTTTTTTTTGAGGATATTGGATTCCGAAGATTTTTGGACTACGTTGAGCCTCACTACATTGTCCACAGTCAAAGATATTTTTCTGACGTAACCTTACCCGTCAATTCTGACGTCATTCAGAAGCTAATAGCTGATAGCGCTTGGGTGAGTTTTACCACAGACATTTGGATGTCGTGTTAGCCCCGTTAGCATGATTAGTCTTACGGAACAATGGATAGACAAAAACTTTGAATTTAAAAAGGCTGTCCTTCATGCACAAGAATGCAGAGGATCCCACACTGCAGCTAGGAACCTGGAACAAGCCTCCACAAGTGAGACAGCATCACAGGTGACTTAATGCTAATAAATAACATTTAACACTTTTCATAAGTTAAAGTGCTACGCATATCATATGGTTGTTACTGAATATATGTCACCAACTCTTACAGCTGTTACACAATTTGTGTAGCAAATAAGCCTAAATAAGAGGGTTATGTTCTGACAAAGGAAAGTATATAAAAAATATCAGTATTGGTTATCGGCCAAATAAGTTTTAACATATCGGAAATTGGCCAAAAATCCAGTGTTGTGCATCCCTATAAAATAATTCTGCATGGCAGTCAGTAGATGAGTGGCTACCTTTCAAGGAGCCACAGTTCTGGTTAAAGTGGTCACCATCATCACTGTCCTCCCTTTGATAGAAATCATAGTAACTTTTGAAAGTGAATCAAATACGTGAAGAGCATTAATGTAGAGCAAACACAGGGATGATGACAGTTTACAGCTATGCTAAATGCTAAAGCTTCCTGCTTGTTGATTGGATAAATAATAATACAGCAGGACCTTTCAATAGCTGTCAGAGGACAAACAGCCAACTAATCGCAACACTAATTTATGTCTGGCACTGAGTGCAAGAAAAACACCAAAAGAAATGTAAAGGCACGCTTGAGCAGAGCTGCTTGTACAACTGACAGCCAGATCTCACTGCCCTGCAGAAGACGAGAGGAAGAGATGGGTGCAGTGAGTCGAAGAATGGGTCAGAAGAAAAAAAAAAAACACCACAAAGTAAAAAGCTGTGTGAGAGACAGTCTCAGAAAGGGATTGTGGTATATTTGACAGTACAAAGACCGCATTAAGATTTCATAATTCTTTCAAACACCATTGTTCAGTTTCTGAGCCCCTTCTTACAATCTTGTCACATGAAAGAAAGTGTCACAGACATAGAAAGGCAAGAGTAGAAGACTTCAGCACCTTCTCCCAAAACAGCTCCTGCTTTTGAGCTTTATATACTTAAAAAAAAAAAAGGATGTGTAAGGAAAAAGAAAAAATGTTTCCGAGCATCTTAGGTTGACACCAACCAACCAAAACATCTATTTGAAAAATCTTCAATTCCTGCTGCATTCACAGTTCCTCAGAAGTAGGAAGTCAAAACTGATATTGCTTTTTGCTCTTCTATAAATAACAAACTCACCAGCAGTTTGATGGTTTACTTTTCATGAGAGAGAAATAACGTAATGAACGCTCTGAGAGTCCTTCCACTGGCTGCCTGTATCACTGAGAGTAGACTTTAAAATACTTCTGTTTAGAAATCACTGCATGGCTTAGCATAAAAATACATTAAAGATATGTTGTTGTTGTTGTATCGACCTTCCAGATCCCTCAGGTCTTCTGGTTCAAGTATGTTCAGCATCCCCAGAATCAAAACCAAACATGGAAAGGCAGCATTCAGTTTTTATGCTTCACTAATTTAGAGCAAACTTCTGGAAAACTGCAAGAATGCTAAAACCCTGAGATCTTTAAAATCAAAATTAAACGTCTAGTTGTTTAGAGTTTGACTGTTTGACTAATATTAACTTAAACATCATTCATTTCGGTCTGTAGTCCAACTTTTCTTTCCTTTATTATGCCACTGCAATGTACTTTTAAAAAAATGTTTTCATCATAAAGCACTTTGAATTGTCTTGTTGCTGAAATGTGCTAAACAAATAAACTGAAAGTACATTTGATGTCTTATGTGTTTTATATTCAAAAAGGAAGTTAAAATATTCTATTTTCTCATGTGCAATTAAATACATGATCAATAACAGTCACAGATATACATATGGTTTTACACTGATAAAATCAAAAATAAAAAAGAGAGAGGCTCGGGGGCCTCTCTGGGTGAAGTTTTCTTCGGGTACTCCAGTTTCCTCCCAAAGACCAAAAACATGCATGTTAGACTGATTGGTAACTCTAAATTGTCCCTAGGTGTGAGTGAGAGAGTGAATGGTTGTTTGTCTCTTTGTGTCCCTGTGATGGACTGGAGTCCTGTCCAGTGTGTCCCCCGCCTCTCGCACAATAACTGCTGGATATGGGCACCAGTGACCCCCATGACCCGAAAAAGAAGAAGCGGGTAAAGATAATGGATGGACGGCTGTTACAAAAGCCTTTCCACTTATAAATGTGAACATACTGTATATGAAGCAATCGATAAAATAAGTTAAAGGCAAACTATTAAAATACAAAAGTTTTAACGTTATCTTTTTTTATTGTATTTTGCCAGAAATTAAAAGTAAACATTATTACTTCACAACGACCTCAAATCATTTTTATTTCTTTGTCAGAAACACCATAATGAATGTCATTGAGTTCCTAACTCTGGACCCTGAGCTGCTTCTGTTTGACTGTCACCGGCTCCTTCTCTGTGAAGTCTGTGATGTGGTTAGAGTTACCTGAGGGCCCGGTGGGCTGACAATAAGAACTGAAGAGTGAGTGAATCACTGATTCTTTGTCTAATCTGGTCATAATGAGGCCACAAGCTCTTCTCCCACCACAGCAGATAAGACAGTAATTGTTTAAGTGTTTTATCTGATGTGGGCCAAAGCCACGCAGAGGTAGCCCGCCGCATACCAAATTACCGAGTCACCCTGCAACGGTCCACAAAAAAACAGAAATGGACTTGTTCAGTTTATGCAGCAAGTATAACACAACAGGACTGTTAAGATTATGGTTTCAACATTTAATGTTTTAATTATGTTCAACAAAAAGTTAGTATGGTATGTAGTTATTAGTGTCTTTATTATATCTTCATAAAATAATAATAATGAGTTTGTAACGCGGTCTCTTTAAATACTGCAGTGAAAAATTAGTTGTTCCTGCTTTCTCTTGAACTAACTTTGAGTTTTGTTCTTATTACTTTTTCATAGTTGTGGTGGTCTTAAAATTTCTGGTCAAACTACCAGTTTTAAACATTGGCCAACAATTTAGTGGTTTTCAATCACAGCAATAAATGATAAACGCTATGAGGAAGTGGGGGAAGTCTGACAAATATGCATGCATGTATCTTTGGCGTAACATTTGAGGATTGTTACATTTCTTAAAGTATGATAAAGTATAGTATATTATATCATGCTGTAACATAAAATAAAAATATAGACAAGCCTGGCTGAGGGAATGAAAATAACAACTGCTTCTTAGTGGAACAGTCTTGTGAAAACAGCTCTGGTTGGTGAGGGAACAAATTTGAAGCCTTTATGGCTGATTGGCAGTTTGGTACTGGGACATTAACAGGAGATCTTTTGGGCCATGCAGATGTGTTCCCACTGACTGAACTTTATGTTGAATGGTTCGTATGATTAAATGACAAACTCATGAACTTGAAGACAGATTCGGCACCATTGGTCCCATGAAGTGATGTTGGTTGGAACTGTAACT